GGATGGGGGCAGCCTGGTGACAGGTTCTGGAGGAGGTTTTCCTTTGGAGCTCATGTGCTGAGCACTGACAGGCTTTTCTTCCGAGTGCTTGGAGATTGTACTGAGCAGCCTGTAGGGCGGATCCAGAATGGCTTGAATAAAGTGAGTTGGAGTAGAATTGAGTTTTTAATAAAGTGAGTTGGTGTAGAATTGAGTCCTCGTTTTCCTCTCCGCTCATCACTGGCAGCGATGTCGGGGCTCCGGGCTCCCCGAGTGGGCCCCCAGGCTCCTGGGCCCTGGAATGCAGACCTCCCGGGGCCAGGCGGTCAGAGGATGAGGAAGGAGGCTTCCTGTTCACTAGGCAGCAGCCGTCCCAGTCCTGGGTGTGTTGTAAGCTCATGTGAGTTTAATCCATTTTGATTTGGGGTTTATAGCACAGCAGGAGCTCAGCTCCAGACCATCCTTTGGATTTTCCAAGCTACTCCACTGGGAAGAGGCAGAGGAGGGAGGGAGGCACCTGAGATCCCCCTGACCCACTCTCATGGCGGCCTGTCCAGCTGCCACCTGAGTGACCCTTCCTTCCTCACCAGCCTCTGCTGGCAGGTGCCTCCTCGCCCTCCTTCCCGTTCTTTCCCGTGGCCCAGCTCCTGTGGGAGCCGCACTCAGCGTGCGGCCCTCCCCGTGCTGGACCCAAACTGAGCGCAGCCCCTGCAGGCCGCCTCCCCTGGCCTGGGGCTGCTGCAGGTTCTGACCCTGGGAGCTCTCAGCCTCTGTCCCTGACTCTCTCCCACCTGGGACAGCTCTCCAGGCTCTCACTGGCCAGCCCCTGGGCAACTCCCCATCCCTTCCACAGACACTCACTGAAAGCTTCCTGGGTTTTGGCTCCCGGGTTGCACCGTGCAGGCAGTCCCCCCACACCCCGCCCCCTCTGCAGGGCTGACCACCTGCTCCCCTAGCACTGACCACTCCTGAGCTTCAGGCCTGAGGTCGGCTGCCTCGGACCCCCTGCCCGGGCTGCAGGCTTCCCCCTCTCCCCCTGACTCCTCTGGGCTCCCTGCTTACCCAAGGCACCAGCTGTCCATCACAGAAGCCCAAAGCCTGTGGTGCAGGGGGGCCCCTCCTCTCTCCTCTTCCCACAGGTGGTAGCTCCCCTGAATTGGGAATGGGTCTGGAATCTGCTGCCCACTTAGCTGACTATTCTCATCCCAGGACCCCCGACACCCCTGTCCCTGGGTCTTGGCAGGGACTTGCCAACTGGTCTGCCTGCCTCCCACAGCTCCTCAGCCCCATGGCACCTCTGGGCATCCACCCAGTGACCTTCCTCTTTGAACTTCCCTCCCTCAGCCTCCACACTAGCTACACCCATCCCTCTGAGGACTAGGTGCTCCATGGGGCTCACCAATGAGTGCACCCCATCTGCTCTCACCCCTCCCCCAGCCCCAGACCAGCTGGTGCACACCCACAGCTTTCCCTGCAATCTTCCCAGAGGCTGGGAGCACCTCTAGCCCAGGCCTCCCTGGGAGCCTCCAGACCTGTTCCAGCGTGGATGTTTAACGACGACAAAAAGGAAAGCTTCAGCCTGGTAGGGATGAGCCGCTGTAAGACCTCGCCCGGGAGCCAGCATAGTCCCAGCCTAGGCGAGGTCCGCAGCCAGGACTGCGTTGCGTGGCCGGTACTGGAGGGCCCACCCCAGAGGGGCTGGCTGCAGCCAGGACTGGCAGGTCCATTCTGACTGCCCAGGTCCTGTGCCGCCCTGTCTCACCTGAAGTCAGGGTACAGGGTGGCATAAGTGACCACCTCGATCTTGATGGCACTGGGGTCCTGCAGGCAGATGATCTTGGCGAGCGTCGAGAGGGCGGGCTGCAGCCAGGTGGCCGGGGAGTCCTGCGGGCACGGGCCTGGTTGGAGGGAGCTGCCTGGCTCCAGAAGTGCCCCGGGCCCAGCAGGGGTCAGGCCAGAGCACTGAGCTCGGAGAGGCCCAGGGGACAAGGGCAGCCCATGGGGGGGGGGGTACGTGGGGGGATGGAGGGGGGATTTGGGGGGTCAGTGCTTACATGCTGAGTGCAGAAGCGCTCGATGAGGTTGGCGTTGGCCAGGACCTGCCCGGCCAGTTGCTGCTGCTGCTCCGCAGTCCTGAGGACCAGGCGCCGCTTGCTGTGCCACACGATGTATTCCTTCACCAGGTGCACGTGGGCCAGCTCCATGAGCAGAGGCAGGGCCATGAGCCCTCCCCACGGAGCCACACTTCCCTGCGGAGCCGGCAGCCCCGGGCCGGAGTTCAGGGAGCACGGATGTCAGGGCCAAGGAGTGCGCGCACGCGGTGGGTGTGCCGCACGGCGTGCAGGCCTGTTAGCTGCGGCCCGGCTGCATGGCCGCCGGACCAGTCTCCCGCCCCGCCCGCCCCACGGGAGCTCACCTCCTGCAAACACTCCCTCAGTTCCGAGAACTCGGGCAGCCGGGCCTCCACGACGAACACAACTTCCTCCAGAGTCTGCGCCGCGGCCGCCCAGCGGGTCTGTGTGAGCCTCTTGAACATCTGTGCCGGGAGGAAGGCAGGATGTCTGCCCGCCCTGCAGGGAAGGCTCCCAGCTGCACACACACACACACACACACGCGGGCGCACACGCTCACATGCACACTGACATGCAGGGTGGCCCGAGGGCCAGGGGACCCGAGAGCTGGCGGGACCCAGGGCGGGACTCAGGTCACTGGCAGGGAGTGGAAGGGGGTCTGCTTACCCTTCCCCCAGGATGCCCGGCTGGGGCTCCTTGCAGCGCAGACTGCCTGCTGAGGTCTTCTCCCCCCCCACCCCCCCCCCCCGACCTAAATAAATAAATTCCTGCGTAAACAAGGCCGCGCCTGACTGGTGCCAAGTCACCTGGGTCAGGGTGCGGCCTCACGGCCAGCTGGCCACCCATGGCCTCCCACCCTGTCGCTGGGTACACGGCGGGCAGGCAGGGGCCCCTCCTGCTCCTCTCCGGGGACCCGAGCCCTCTGCTAAGGAACAAGGCCTTTCTGGGGGCTTCTTGGCCCGGCAGACATGGCGTGGCGGCGGCTGCCAGAGGCTCTGAGCATCACCGCTGGAGTTCGGCATGGGGACAAGCTGAGGGGGTCGGGGGTTGAGGGGAGTGTGTGCAAACTTGAGGACTAGAGGGGGCCGCTGAAGTTTTCCTGTGTCCTCCCAGCCCTGGGAGGCCCCTCTGAGGCCGAGCTCCAGCCAACATGGTGGGGGCTCGGGCTCGGGCTCGGGCTCACCAGCCTCTCCATACCCAGCCCCACACCGTGCCTCCCACATGGCAGCCTGGCCCCTGCCACTCCACCCACCCCCTGGAGGGCCACCCCCCTGGTGGCCCCGGGCGGGCGAGCTACCTTCAGGTCCTAGAACAGGCCCTGGAGCAGGGTGTCAAAGCTGTCGTTCTTGAGTTCATTCAAGAACCACAGAGGGAGATCTTGGAGGACATGGGGCGGGAGGTCACGCCGGCCCTGTGGGCCCACGGCCCAAACCAGAGCCGGTGAGCCCGAGGCCAGTCTTCCTAACCCCCTCCTCCCTCTGGAACCCGCAGTCCAAGTCACCCTATTATAACCCCCGGGGCAGGCCCAGTCTGCTCATCCCTGCACCCCCCCCCCCCCCCCCCCCCGCCCCACATCCTCTTCCTAACTGAGGTGTGGGAGCTGCTCAATGGGCAGAATCACTGCCCGATGTTCCAAGGACACAATCACCATGGACCTGTGCCCGAGGCGTGCCCCCACGGAGCAGTTCCCGAGGGGCAGGCCTCTCATCTCCACAGCCTTCCTCGCTTACTCCGCGGCTGTGCTTAAGCCGCTGTGGCCTCGCTCTCCCCTCCCCTCACCCGCCTCCACACTCTCCTCTGCCTCCCAGCAGCCTTTCCCTCCAGCAAGCAGGCTGGTGCTCTGCTCCCACCCCTGCCCAGCCTCCCAGCCTCGCGGCCCTCACCCTCTCACTGGAAGGTCAATTGTTGATGTTGGCCATGACATTGGCCCTGTAATTTCTCAGCTGTTTGCACCTCTCCAGAAAGGCATCAAAGGCCCGCTGGTAGCTGATGAGACAGGAAGGGGCGCTTGCGGGACCAGCACAAACACCGGACAGGAGCAGCGCCCGGGGTAACTGTGCCTCTCCCAGGGCGGCCCCTCGGCTTAGGGCGGCGGCTGGCCCCCGGCACCCCGAGGTCATGCCCAGCTCCCGGGCAGGGAACTGCCGAGCTCTGGGAGACTGGAGGGGGCCATGGGTAAACGGAGGGGTCCTCAGAAGTGGGGAGGTTTCTGCTCTGCAGCTGCCATGGCTCCCGTGAAAAAGCTTGTGGCACAGGGGTAAAAAAAAGAAGCAGGTTCTGAAGTTTACGCTGGATGCACCCACCCGCAGAAGATGGAATCATGGACGCAGCCAACTTTGAGCAGTTTCTTCAGGAGAGAATCAAAGTGAACAGAAAAGCTGAGAATCTCGGTGGAGGGGTTGTAACCATTGAAAGAAGCAAGAGTAAGATCACTAATAACGTTTGAGGTGCCTTTTTCCAAAAGGTATTTGAAATATCTCACCAAAAAATATCTGGAGAAGAATAACCTACAGGACTGGTTGCGTGTAGTTGCTAACAGCAAAGATTTACAAATTGCGTTACTTCCGACAAATCTGGATGAAGAGGAGGAGGAAGATGAGGATTAAAGCCCATTTATCTGGCAAATTTTGTATGAGTTATTGAATAAAACTTGGGAACAACAAAAAAAAAAAAAAAAAAAGAAAAAAAAGAAGTGGGAGGGAGGCAGCCAGGAGTTGGGGATGGAGACTAGACTGTACCTGAAGGGGAGCCCAGGGTCTCCGTCCCTCAGGGGCACCCCCTTACAGCTGAGGGTGCTCTGTTGGGAGCTGTGCCAGTAGGGTGGGGGCCTCGGGGCCCAGGGCAGGGGAGAGGGCTCCTGTCCAGAAGGACAGACACCCTAGGGGCACCAATCTAGCCGAGCACAGGGCGGAGGCTGCAGGCCCTCTGGGCATGCCTGCACACACCCACCTCCTCAGAAACGCAGCCAGCTCCGCCAGCAGCATGCTCTTGATCTGCTTGCCCAGGTCCAGCGTGATGCTCTTGGCCTTGGCCTCGCCCTGGGAGATGATCTGGAGGGAGCGGGTAAGCTGAGCAGGGGTCCAACTGGACCAGGGCTGGGGAAGGGGGGGTCACACTGGGAACAGGGCGGGCTCGGAGGCGGCACGTGTGCGCATCAGGGATGGACGGCGGGCTGTGGGTGCGGGCGGGCTGTGCCACCTGGATGATGTCGATGGCCAGCTCGCTGTGGCAGTGGCCGTTCAGCCTCTGGGGGGCCACATCCCAGGCCCAGCGCTGTGACTCCAGGTCCAGGGCTCGGGTCATCAGCTCCTTCATGCTGGTCTGGGGCAGGGACGAGTCAGGTCAAGGTCGCCAGGAACCCATCAGCCCTGCCCCCGGGGAGCCCTGTCAGGTTCCCGGTGTCCCACCCGCCCCGCTTCCTTCCTGCCCATCCCGGCCCGGCGCTGGCGCTGGCGCCTGTTATGCCCAAGTGTCATAAACCCCAAAGACTACCAGGGAGCCGAATCCGATGCAATTGCAGAAAGCCTGTATTTATTTCGGACTAGTCCGAGCCCAGTCTCACCTACACCAACGAGGGCATGGGCGAGAAAGAGGAAGAACTTAACATATCAATGGGTTTTATAGGGAGGGTGGTGCTGCTACCTTGGCTGACCTGATTGGTTGGGTTAGACCTAGGGTCCAGTTACCTGGAGCTGGACCCGCCCCCACCTGCCTCTCACCCCACCTGCCCTCTCGCCCCGCCTGCCCCCTCACCCCGCCCTGCCCTCTCAGCGCCCTCACGGACTCACCACCTCGTTGGATAGGAATGTGGCCTCCAGCAGCCGGATCTGCTTTGGGAGGCAGGAGGCTGCCCAGGTTGAGCCCCTGCAGCTCACCTGCCAGCGAGGAGATGTTGATGATGTCGCTGAGGGCAGAGGGTGCTGGCGTGAGGAGACAGCCGCCCAGCTCCATCCTGAGCTGAGAGCCGCCCCCCACCTGCTCTCCACTGCCCTGAGTGCCACCGTGTGACCCCATGACCCATCCCGGCCTCTGCGTCTCCGATGATGGATCCTCTCTCTGTTCCGGGAAAAAGCCTTGGCATCACCGTGCCTTTTTAAAAAAATATATATATATTTTATTGATTTTTTTACAAAGAAGAAGGGAGAGAGATAGAGAGCTAGAAACATCGATGAGAAAGAAACATCGACCAGCTGCCTCTTGCACACCCCCTACCCAACGTACATGCCCCTGACCGGAATCGAACCCGGGACCTTTCAGTCCGCAGACCGACGCTCTACCACTGAGCCAAACTGGTTTTGGCATTACCGTGCCTTTTACTCTCTCATCCACTCAGGCTCCAAAACATCGCCACCCCTGCCGCCCGCCCTGCCTCCATCAGCCTCCAGCCACCCAGCCCAGCCACTCCTTCTCTCCCCAGCTCACTGCCACAGCCTCCTCCCAGGCTCCTGCTTCCACCTTGTCCACCGGCAGGCAGAACCTGCTGGCCGCCTCCTGCAAATCAAACCCCATCTCCCCTCTGTCAGAGCTACCCACTCTCGCCAGCAGCAGCCTGGACCTGCCACCCCTCCCACCTGCCCTCCCTCTCACTCCCCTGCACCCCAGCCTGGGCCCCCTCCCTCCGGCCAACCGTGCTGCCCGAGGCCGCCAAGCAGGAAGGGCTGCTCACAGGGCCCTAGAGGCGGCTCCCTCACCCTCCTGGCACTCTGCGGGGTCCCTGCCCCCAGGGACGGCCCCACCCTGGCACTTTCTCAGCCTTTGTCTGCGGGAGGCTCAGGGGCGGCCTCTTTGCCCCTCGCAGCGGGACGCCATGTCCCTGTGCTGCCTGCACTCCTGCCACACAGGCCCACAAAGCCCCCGAGCCCCCTCAGGGCTCCGGCCCAGCCAGCTCCGTTTCCTGCTGTCAACCCCGTGGGCCTGGCCAAAGGCCGCAGTCACCGGGACAGGAAGGCTGCCTGCCTGGCAGAGGTCAGTCCCCAGTAGTCCACAGCAGTCCTCAGCAGCCCACAGCAGTCTGCAGCAGCAGCAGCAGTGGCGGTGGCGACACATAGTCTCCAGCACTTCTTTTTCCTGTGTTTTGGTGAGGGGTTGCGTTACTGAGGTTGCCTTCCATGGAGGGCCTGGTACGTTCCTCACAGCGCTGAAGCTTTGAATCTAGGCAGTCTAATGCTGAATGTTGGGATCGTAAGGATCTCACCATGTTCTCACTTGTACTCATGGGCACCGACTGGAACTGTACTATGCATGTCATTGATGACACAGCTTGGATTTAGACCTGCACTTATAGATGCCTCCTGATAGTGCTTTGGATGGCAATCAATTTGATTTGGCTGGCATCAGCTTTTTTGGTTGTGGATTGCTCACTAAAGGGCTGTTGCTTCAAGTGGAGAGACTTCCTTGCCAGCTATTTTCTACATGTGTCTGCATGTTGTGAGGAACCTTCATTTGCCCTGGGAATTTCTGTGCAAAATATTACCATATTACTCACATACCTTTGATGTCTTGGGGTGCTACAGTGTGTTGTGAGAAAGGGCTAACCGTCACACTTCACTGAGTCCTGTGTATTTTCTCCTAGCCCCCCCTCTCTCCCATTTCTACTGTCACAATTGACTGCAGTGTGCCCTTCATTTTTTACTAACTGGTTATTTGCTATTCTGCTAGGGAGCATTGAGTACTCATCACCTCAGACATGGTATGTGCCCTTCATTGTATATGGTGGAATTTCCTAGGATTACAGCCCCCCATTCTGTGTATCCTTATCATTTCCATGGACAAAATTTCCGTGTGTCAGCAACCCCAGGAGTTGCTCTCAGCCTGTTTGTTCTATGCATTTACTCATGCTGCCTCCCACCCACCCACAATGTACATTCACATGAGTTTAGTTATAGTTATGCCCCCCCCCCCCCCCCCCCCCCGCACTATGGGTTGCACCGTTGGTTGTTGGCTGATCTGTATACACATGTGGGAGGAGCACAAAGGCTGTGAAGCTTCCAGGTTTTGGATAAGTGTATTTCGTCATGTGCCTGCCAACCCCTGTGTCGTCGCCCCCCCCCCCCCGCTGCCAACAAAAGCCTTGTCTTCCTAGGCAGGCGCTACTGAAAGCTGCTTTTGCTGTCCAGCAGCTGACTTATGGCACAACTCCCCATTGCTTTGTTTGCAGAATGCCAGTGTGCACTGAACTGTGTATATGTCATTTTACCACCGATGCATGGCTACATCCCCATTACAGATGTTACTTCTTCAAAAGTAGTGCCCGTTTCCACCCCTTGTGGTGATGTCCTCACACAAAGGCACACATGTGCAGCACCTTGAAAAACACTTGCATGCTGGCTCATGTATGTCCAGGCATGGTGTCCCTGATGCTGTCCCGCCTGTGCATTCCTTTAGAAAATCTGGGCTCATTACTTGTAAGACTACCAATGAGTGTGTATTAGGCACTCCCCCGGTATGTGAAGAAATGACTTTGGATGCCAAATTTCAGGGTTGGCAGCCAGTACCATGACGAGTAGATAGGCTTCCCAGCTTGGTTCGTAGTGTCCATTCTAGGAATGTTTTCTACCCATTTGTACCAGTCATGTTCTTTGCAGAATTAGTCCCGTAGGCGCCCTTGCTCCCTCCACCTGCCTCATGGACTTTCATGTCATGTGTTGTTGTGTGCTTGCCCATTTCCTCATTCTCACAGTACTCTTGCCTGGAATAAAAAGTTGTCAAATGTGTGCATACTTATTTTTTCAAGTTTTGTGTGTGCCCTCATCTTAGTTGCCCCAAAGGTTGGGGAGAGAGGTGCCCTGGATATTCTTATATAGTGTCCCTTACCATGAGTGTCTTTGCCATTATGGTCGCTGTCTCCGCCCCGCCCCGGCATCCCCACTCAGTTCTCATATTCCCCTTTGTGCATAATCATTGTCGTTGCAGGACAAGATTCAATTGAAGCTGCCTTTTCTACCCCATGGATGGATAGGCACATGAGTAGTATGAGTGATCTGTGCTGTGCCCTCTCCCCCTAGGTTGGCCCCTTTTGTTCTGTTTTCACTAGCACTCCCAGTTTTCAGCAGGCACCCACCCACCCATTTTTGTGAGGGAGCCCCTGCTGTTGTGGTGAGCTGCCAAAGGTATTTCCTGTATGAATGTGTGTCTGGCACTCTTGCCAGCTCATAGTCAACATAGTGCTTCTGTCTGGCACATTTGCCAGCTCATGGTAAAGATTGTTTCCGTCTGGCATCCATGTCAGCTCATCATGTACATTCTGCTTCCGTCTGAGATGGATGCCAGCTCATTACATAGACCTTTTTTCTGTCTGGCATTTCTGCCAGCTCATCAGGCAGGTCTTGCTTCTGTCTGGCATTTCTGCCAGCTCATTATATTTGTTCCCATGTACCCAGACATCCACCTAACCACCCAGGGAACTAACCCCCCCACCCCCTTACCCACCCAGTCACCCACACCCACTTAGCCAGCCATCCAGCCAGAAGACAGACAGCCACCCACTCAATCATCTACAGACCTAGCTGTGTAGCCTCACTGAGACCCCATTGCTTGAAATTCAATGTGGTGCCTTCCCTTTCCCTTCCAGTGCCCACCCTGCAATGCAGGGCGGTGATCTCAACTGTGCCATGGTCAGAGTCGCTCATTCATGAAGAAAGTACTGAATCGGCGGAGGGGCCGGGGGCAGAAAACCAGAAGGGCACGTGTGGCGCAAAGTCACAGGGGGTCTTGGGAAGGTACATGCAGGGCAAGGGGTTGGGGTGAGCTCAGTCTGACATGGGTTGTGCCGGGTGTCTGCTTCTTTTGTTTTATGGGCACTACAAAGCACTACATCACATTCCCTCCCTACTTGTCCATGGCACCCACCGGCTAGGGTGTTCAGCGGTGATTGCTGTGGTTTCAGAGCAAGGTGCACCTCCATGGAACTTTCTGCAATTATCCAGCAGTCCCAAGTAGCAGCAAGCAGCAGCAAGCAGTAGCAGCAGCAGCAGCAGCAGCACATACAATCTGTACTTCTTTTTCCTGTGAATTGGCGAGGAGTTGTGTTACTGAGGTTGCCTTCCATGCAATGCCTGGTCTTTTGCTATCCGTGCTCAACCCATGAAACTCGTCTGTTGCAAGCTTGGGAGATGTCATTGCAGAACCTTAAACTCTACTTTCCCAACGCTATGTCTTCTGCTGAGTCCTTAAGCCCTCTTGTCCTTCATTGCCATCATCCCCCAATAGTCACCAATTTTCTGGACTCTTTCATGTTCCTAATTGCTCCCAGGATACCTGCCAGGGAGGTTTTCTTCTTCCCCTTACTCTGCCGTGCTCTTTATGTTAGTGAGAACCACAACTTGGTAGGTACCTACTTTCTGGGAATTGCACTCAAGTTTCCTCTGAATGCTTCACCTTCTGACTCCTATCTCGTGCCTTCCCCTGTGCACAGTACTTTGCTTTGAGGCCAGGGAGAGTGGGTGTTTTCTCTGCTGGGTGGGTGGAATGGATTCTCCTACACCTGTCTTTTACCCTCCTTGCGCCCCATCCTCATCACAGAATCCTATCAAGAAACTTGCATGATTGCCCTCCCCCTACTCTCAGGTGTTTGCGTGTCTCCTGCCTTGAGGGCATGCTTTAGTTCTCCTTAGTGTTGCTGCTTAACCTCCCTCATCTGCAGTGAGAGACGGTAAGGATATGTACTCACCTGTTGGCGCAGGTGGTAGAGAGGTCCAGGTTTCCGAGTGAGCGGTGTGTTGTGGTTCATCCTCCTATCCTGGATGAATTTCCAGGGAAGGCATTAGGCACGAGCCTCGGCAAAGTTTTTTTCTCATGGGGCATCCACCTGTTTCAAAGAGATGCATTGCCATCAATGTCTACGTTGTATCAAGTAATTTTTGTTAATGTCTACTAATAGGCATCCGCACTCTATTTTTTAAACCA